TAAATAAGCATATGGAAAAGAGGGAACCACAGAACCTGGTTTAATTTGACTTTCAAAAACCTGTGAGAAAATCCCACTCTAATGACTGTTTTTTTTAAATTGAGTCACTAGGGTTGTTTTTACCATGAATATGGAATTGACTTAAAGACCATAAACAAAGCTGAAGACAAGCACAGTCATCCCAGATGGAAAAGGATCCCTAGGGTTTCCTAGAGATCTAATCTATGATGGGTCTTCTTACGCGTTTGTGAATGACCTTGCTGGGACGTAGATATGGAATCTCCAGGTTCAGGCATACCTCATACAGAGAAGGTCAAGCTTATGGACATTTGCATATTCCATTTGGATTCATAAGACATGTTGTATTATTTATCTTTCTCATTGTCATGGCCAAATACCTGACATGCAGTAACTTATAGAGGATGAATTTATTCGTCTTCATGGTGTAGATGTAACCGTCTTGTTAAATAAGAAACACAGAGCCAATGCAGAGATGAAAGCCCAAGAGGTCAGAGCTAAGAGCTAAAAACCTTACCCTTCACTGCTGCTGCTGTCCTCTTCAGCCAAGAGACCTACTTCCTGTGTGTCTGTCTTTATAAAGACTTTCTGTTCTGCCTTCTCATTGGTTGTAAACCCAACCACATGACCTCCTCGTCACTGCCTTTCTGTACAGACCTCCAGCTCTTCTATGGTTGATATTGAGATTAAAGATGTGTGTCTCCATGCTGGCTATATCCTTGAACATACAGAGTTCCGCCTAGCTCTGCCTCCCAAGAGCTGGGATTAAAGGCATGCACCACCACCGCCCAGCTTCTGCTATGGCTTGCTATTAGCTCTGACCCCCAGGCAACTTTATTTATTAACATACAAATAAAATCACATTTCAGTACAATTAAAATATCACCATATCATGGTGTAAGTGTACAGCGCATCACAGTGGGCGAATCCTGGTGACAGCAGCTTGCTGAATTTGCGGCAGGAGCGTGAAGCTGCTTGTTCATATCTTGGTAGACCAGAGGCTTAGATAGGCAGCCCTATGATCGCTAAGACCTACTCTCCAGGGACCCATCTCCCGTCATCTAAGCCCCATTCTTCTGAAAACTCTACAGCCTTCCAAAACAGAAGCACCAGCTCGGGAGCAAGTGTTCAAACCCATGAGCACATGGGGAGATATTTCATACTCACTCACGCCATAATGGTCATTATGTGTTTGGACCATAAAGTATAAAGAGGATGTAGATAATACGGTCCTTAGGCTTGAAAAAATAAAGTTCTCTAAGTTAGGACAAAAGCCAGAAGTTCCAATGAGGCTAGTCACAAAGACAAATGAGGCAGGTAAATGAAAGTATGAGAGTACAGAGAAGGGGAAATGTGGATGGAGGCAGGGAAGGCTTCCTGGAGGAGGCAGACTCTAAGAGAGCCTTGAAGAACAGCTAGGTTTTGCATAGGTGCAGAAGAAATGAAAGGTTGAAAGCAGCCAATGGATACTGAGCAGTTGTTGACCCTGCCAAACACTGCGCAGGGGCCATGGCTTGTATGAGTGGTCCCGTCTAACTAACATCAGCCTAGTAAGGTAGCTTATATACCCCCAGCTTCCAAACAAGGAACAGGAGACTCTAAGAAGTTAGATCTACTCAAACTCACAGTGCTAATAAGCACAGTAAGCCTTGTTTTTATAGTCCCTCTTATTTTAGGAATTGTTGGCATTTGCAAAGATCTGGTGGCAGGCTAGGAGAGTATGGAGTGACTATAGAGGCCAGGGTGACTGGAGGGACACCTTATGTTGGAGAGCAGAGAGAGGTCAGGTTGGAACATGTGGATTGTCTCTGAGTTAGAGGTTCTTCCATCTGTGGGAAGACCTCAAGAGCTGAATGCTCCATCCCTCATTGAGTGGAAGAGGAAAGGAATTGTGAGCCACAGTCTGCAGTTAGGGCCAGGACCTAGTTTGGGAGGAGGAAATTAAAGAGTGCAGAAAAAAAAAAACAAAAAAAAAAAACAGTGTAGGGGAGAAGCTGACGGAGGCCAGCTTATTTAGTGGCCTCTGCTCGAACATGTACATTGGATCTGTTTGCACCTTACACACCCATCAGAGTGCAGGTCTCTTCAGGGCCAGCTCTCGGGGTCCCCTGCCCCACAACCATCTCGGGTGTGGTGGGAAATCAAACAGAGACTCAGAAGGCTGATGCCCCGTCACCTTCAGGGGCTCAGGAAGCATGGCAGGAACCCAGAGCTCCCTTGCTGCCTGCTTGGCTATGACTTGGCTGTCTGAGTTCTTTGACACATATCCCTTAACTCAGAAGTCTGGCCGAGCCATCAGGCTTGGTCTCTTAGGTCCCAGCAGGGTGCAGTCTGCCAGGGGTCTTTGGGGGAAAGAAGGATAATACTCAAAGCAACAGGAAGCAGCTAAGCCATGTGATTCCCTTGGCCACTCCAAGGACGTGGAGGCAGGATGCCACGTGGTCACCTCCTTCTAGTGGCATGTGGGGCATGGAACTGGGCTAGAAGATGAGCACATTTGGGATTTAGGGTGAGTGGCCAATTACTCTGTTAAACTTTGCTATCTAGAAATGTCACCCGAGACACCTGTTGGGGTAGTGAAGTAAAGAGAGTGCTGGACTTGAAGTGGGAGGTGACCCTTGTACCTCTGCCCATCCTCAAATTAGCCTGTGAATGGGCTGACCATGTAGCCCCCATAGGCCTCAGTTTTCCTGTCTGTGAAATGGATGGGTTCACTGTATCAATCTCATATATACTTTTTTATTTTATGTGTATGAGTGTTTGCCCGCTTGTATGTCTGTGCACCCCATGGGTACACTGCTGGGAGAGGTCAGAAGGCAGCATTAGAGCCCCTAGAACTGGAATTACAGGAAATTGTGAGCTGTCACGTGGGTGCTTGAAACTCAAACCCAGGTCCTCTGCAAGAGTAGCAAGTGCTCTAAACTGCTGAGCCTTCTGTCCATCCCTCATGTATTCAGTAATGATCAAAACCCCGCCCTGCATTGTTTAATCCACACAGAACGCAGGAGGATGCCTGCTGTTTTATCACTCTGTCCCAAGTTCATGCTGTCTTAAGTGAGTTTTCGCACCTGAACCCTGGATAACCCGGCACTTCCTACTGTGGGAGCTGCCCCATGCATCCTGCAAATGTTCCCACTGGTCTGCTAGCTCCACAAGACCTGAGGATGGGATGCCGTCTTCTCCCTCTTTACAATTAATATCCTCAGAGTGTCTGGCCTAAAGCAGGTGTGCACAGGGTTGCCAGATAGTCAACAAAAGAATGACTGAGTTACCAACAATCTCTGGAAGAATGGTAAGTGTAGTCCGGGGCTGGAGAGACGGCTCAGTGCATGTGAGGACCTGTGTTTGGATCCACAGACCTCTGTAAAGTCAGACTGAGCAGCACGTCTTCAATCCCAGTGTTTCTACAACAAGATGAGAGGGACGCAGGAGAATTCCTAAATGTTCACCAGCCAACTAGTTCGGTGTATAGAGCAGCAAATGACAAGAGAGTCTGTCTCAAACAAGGTGAGTTGTCCTCTGATCTCTACACCTACACGGTAGCCTGCATGCACCCACACACACACACTTACACGTGTGTATATACATGCTTGCACCCACACACACACACTTACACATGTGTGTATATACATGCTTACATACACACACACACACACACACACACACACACACTTTTTAATTTGACCCCGTAAACTACCCTTCTTTGTTAGAATTTCTGTCTCCTCACCTTGGGAAAATATGGGCGGCACTAAACACTGCCGTTTCTTCCGTTTGGAATTTTTCCATTAAAGGTAAAAAGCAAGAAGTGGGCTGGGGACTTGAACTGGCACCGGGTCCTCTGTCGACTCCTGCTGTTAATACTTGGGGGCTGATTTCCCTACTGAAGTTGTTTATTTTCTCTCTTTAGCTTTCCCAGTTGCAGAGGAAGACGTAAGCACAGACCCTCCAAGTTCGCTCTCCTGCTGGCATGGATTAACCTTGCTCACTGTTTCTCAGTCACATGGCCTGTGCCCTGTGGATCTTCCAGCTTTGAACACAGCTTTAGCCAATGCTCCTGGCTTTAGCGTTTCTGCTAGCTCCAATTTCTCTTTCGCTCCAGCTTTCTTGGAGTATTTCTTAGGTGTAAATGCCATCTTTGCAGCAGTTCTGGGCAGCTCCCAAAACCCCGTGCTCACCAGGGAGCTAAGTTTTGAGGGGAGAAGACCTCAGCCCCACAGAAGCCTGGGCACTTTGCTTCTTGTTTGTGGTGGTTTAGATGAGAATATCCCTTGGAGGCTCAGACATTCGAACACTTGGTCCCCCGCCACTGGTGCAGTTTGGGAAGGTTGTGGAACCTCTGAGTGTGTGTAGTCTCACCTCACTTCCTGCTTTGTTCTGCTTCCGGTTTGCATTTGAAGATGTCGGCTCTCAGGTTCCTTGTCTGGCCACAGCTTGCTGCTGTGTCTTCTCCACCATGATGGACCCATCCCTCTGGACTGTAATCTAAAATAAACTCTTTCTTCTATGAGTTACTTTTCAACACTGTATTTTATCACAGCAATAACAATAAAATAACTAACGCCCTCTTGCTGTGATAAACACCATGACCAAAAGCAATTTGGAGAGGAAAGGGTTTATTTTAGCTTACAGCTCCCATTATCAATGGGAGTCAGGGCAGTACCTCAAGGCAGAAACTGAAGCAGAGACCGTGGAGGAACATTTCTTACTGGCTTGCTTCTAGGCTTATGTTTAGCTCCCTTTCTTATATAATCCAGGGCTACCAGTCTAGGGATGTTACTGCCCACAGTAGGCTTGGACATCCAACATCAATAAGCCACAACAGTCTGATGGAGGCAATTCCTCTGCTGAGGCGCCTGCTTCATAAGTGAGTCCAACTGTCAACTAAGGTTAGCTATCACAAGCCACCCCACCATACCTGTAAGTTCTTCCATCTTAGGAAGACCCCACCCCCATTCATCCACACACAGAGAGAAACTACATACCATCCTGTTGGAAAAGTTACTGAAGTTCTCAACCAACACCTGCTTGATCATGTCTGGTTCAGAAATGACAACATACATCCGACGACCAAGATAGTACCTAGGAAGGATCAAACAAATTGCTTTTAAAACGTGGCACTTTTACCCATTTCTCCTACCCCTCCCCTCCAAAAGAACTCACAGTCGCTTTAGAATGAAGGGTGAACAATAAGTGAGAAGTAAATACACAGAAATGAAAGCGTACAGGCTCCAATGGCGAGCAGTAGTAGATTTGCGATAAAGTGTCGCCAAAGCGCTTCCCATCAACACTTGCAGACTGCCACCTTGTCCCAGCACTGGAAATTCAGATAAGACACAGTCCCTGACTCAGGCAGCTCACAGGCTGAGAGGAAACCCAGGTCGATAAATGTCAATGCACGAACAAGGGCTCCTGAGATCCAACAGTAAGATGAGGGGAAATGGCAGCGTTTTCCAAACACGAGAGGCTGGCATTTTAGAACGAAAACATTTATACTAATTCTACACTGAATGAATAAGCAGATGTCAGAGAGAACGTGGGAATGATTAACCCTGCTTCCGAAAGGCTGAGCTTTGTACAAGGGAGCTCAGCAGACACTCACAGCATCTGAGAAGTGGAGGACAGCCTCAGCCAGTCACCTGCTGCTGGTGAGCTCTGGCCAGAGGAAGTGCTTACATACACAGTTGATCTTTATGAAAGTCCTGAGGACCCAAACCACCAAGACCTAGGGCCCCACCTGCTTGGGCAGCACTGTGAGTGACAGGAAACTAACTGTGCACAGCATAGCTGCATGATGATGGGGCCATGGTGCCAGGCATGCTTCCAGTGTATGAGCTGACACATTCCTGGGTGTAACTGACTGGCTGGTGTAGCCTGTTCAGAGCAGCATGGGTCAGGTTTTAAAAGGGAAATCACATTTCAAAAGCAGCCGAGTTTGCTCTGGCATTCTAACTCAGCTTTTCATAAGCCAAAATGATGTTCATTTAAAAATTATTTTTCCCTTCACAAAATAAGGGGAAAAAAATAAGAAGGGGCTGGTGAGATGGCCCAACTGGCAAAGTACCTGTCACACAAGCATGAGGACCTAAGTTCAGATCCCCAGCATTCATGTAAAGAAAGCTGGGTATGGCCATGAACTTCCAGAACCCCGGGACTGGGAGTTTGTCAGGGAGGCCAGCCAGCCTGTGAGCCCCAGGTTCAGTAAAAGACCTTGTCTCAAAAAATAAAATAGAGAGTTGTTAAAGGTGACACTCAACACTGGCCTTTGCCCTCCGCATCATACATACACATATGTGCACAATATTTGAGTGAGGTACATAATTATAACACACTCACACACAGCTTTTTTTTTTAAGAAAAAAGATTTATCTAGCATCTATTAGACACTCAGAAAATATTCAACCAAGTGATCATATTTTCCAAAATTGTTAGGGAAGTCTTTGGACCACAGGAATTTAGCAGATGTGGTACAAGGAAAGAAAGGCCACCAACTAGTTTCTTATTGTTTTTAACCAAGAACACTGAAAATAACCCAGTGCAGCCACTAACCAACACTGTTATAAAATCTGTGGCAGGTGTCACGGAGTCTTCTGAGAAGAACCAGAGAGAGAACCAGGCTCTAGATGCCGGGCCAAGAACGAACATTTACAGGACTCTGTCCACCCCTTGTCTCTGCCCAGAGCAGGGCTCTCAGACTTAAGTGTTCTTTGAATCCCTTCATCTGAGGAAGCACTAGCTGAAAAATCCCTCGGTCTGAAAAAAAGACTAAGTTAAAAATTCAAGAAGCCAAATGAACCTCAAATAGTCTAAACACAAAGAAACACACACCAAGACACATCACAATCAAGCTTGTGGGAGGAAAAAAATGGCAAAATAAAGAGGAAAAGTCTTTAACGGCTCCTTGTGGGAAGGTTAATTCAAAGGATAGCAGATTTCTCATCAGAAATCCCGGAGACTGATACTCAGAAGACAGCTTGGTCAGTGAGAGAACTTGTGCCAAGATGAGGACCTGAGCTGAGATCCTCAGAACCCAGGTGTGGCAGTGTTCCTATAATCCCAGTGTATGGAGACAGGAGGATGGCTGGGGTGGCTTAGCTCCGCGTTCTGTGAGAGACCCTGTCGTAAGGGAACGAGGTGGAGAGTGGCAGGCCAGAACACATACCAACAACACACAAAGTAGGAAGGGAAAGGCAGTTGGGGGAGGGAGAGAGGAAGAGAGAGAGAGAGAGAGAGAGAGAGAGAGAGAGAGAGAGAGAGAGAGAGAGAAAGAGAGAGAGAGAGAGAGAATGGGAACTAGGGGACTGGAAAGATAACTCAGTTGACTTTTTTGCTGCTGAACTTGAGTTCAAATTCCCAGCACCCATGGGAGGAAAAGCTGGGCATGGCAGTACACACCTATAATCCTAACTCTAGAGAGGTGGAGAATCCTTGGGCCTTGCTGGCCAGACAGTTCTACCAAACACTGAGCTCCAATTTCAGGGAAAGATCCTGTCTCAAAACACAAAGTTGAGAGAGATGGACGAAGACATCAAACATTGATCTCTGACTTCCATGCATACGTGCACACATACTCACACGTATAAATGTGTATACATGCACAAACATGTCTACATGCACAGGCCAAAATCCTGAGTCAGAAGGAATTGGCATATTTTAGCTGGTACAGGCTAATATTTGTCTGGTGGCTGCATCTTTCAGGAAACAGGTTAAAAATTACATTTTAAGAAGAAGAACAACCAAGAGAATTGATCACTGGTAGATCTACCCTCAAAGGAAGGCAAAAGGAGATTCTCCAGGGAGAAGTGGAATGATAACAGAAGAAACGTCCTAAAACAAAGACCACAGAATGGGTGAAGCATAACAGGCGATCCCTCTGCTCAGAGGCTTCTTCAAGTATACTGGATGGCTGGAGCAAGAGCTAAAGAATCATCAACTGTGATCAACACACGTGGAGGAAACGCTGAAGTAAGGAAGGCAAACCAATGTGGAAGGTTTGCACGTGTCACTCAACGTGGTAAGGCAGCCATACTCATAGACCAAGATAAACTACGATGCATACTTATGCAACTAAGAACGTGACACGAAATGATAGAAACATTTTAATAAATCATAAAGATTTATTAAATCATAGAGCGTGTGATGGCTTAACAGTTAGGTAGGCGCACATGTTGCTCTTGCAGAGGACCTGGGTTTGGTACCCAGCACCCACATGGCAGCTCCCAACTACCTGTAAGTGCTCCAGGGGATCTGATGCCCTCCTATGGCCCATGCAGACTCCCACACGTATGCACACATAATAAACAGAGAAAGAAAAACAGCAAGGAGGGGACAGAAGGACCCGAAAGGGAGTGGCAGAGGACAAAGGAAGTGGATGTGAAAATGCTGTCGTGGAGCTCTTTGCTTTTCATGCTGATAAAAATACTAATAAAAGAAAAATATGATAACAGTCTAAACGGTCCTATGACCACAACGATGGAATGCATGCTTTTAAATTCATTCTCATCCAAACTACTGCAGTAAGTATAATTTTAAAAAGTTTAGGGGAAACCCACACAGAACCAACTAGCGATGGCGCCCAGTGATAGAACATTTGCCCAGCTCATGAGGTCCTGGATTCATTTCCCATCATTATAAAACAAACAGACCACACACACACACACACACACACACACACACACACACACACACACACACTCTTGATGAAAGAAGTCTAAGTAAATGCAGAGACAAACCATGTTCATGGGTTGGAAGACACTACAAAGGCACAATCCTACTTCAACTGGCCTGCAGACATGATGCGTTTCCAATCAAAATCCTACCAAGAATGAATATAAGCATGGACAAACTTACTCTAGAATTTGTATGGGAAGACCAAAGATTTAGAATAACTGATTTTTTCCCTGAAGAATGAAGCAGGAGAAATGAGTGTATCAGCAACTTGACAGTAGCAGCTGAAACTATATTGGCAGAGAGAGATAGATACGTACATATATATCTACACATACACACTCACGTGTGCGTATACACTTGGATAAAGTCGGAATGATCTCTGCATGAGCTGGGTTTCCCCTGATGGTTTTGATGACATGCTGTAGTTTTACCTGAGTGTGGTGCAGATCACCATGGGGGAAGACATTGGGCCTCCCTGTGTGTTTTTTCTTCATTTGTTTATAAATCCCTCTGCATCTATAATATCTCAAATTAAGATAACATTTTACAAGTCATTCGGGAAGTTAATAAAGCTTAAAGACATAGACCCGTACCAAGCCAAGCCTGTTCTACCAGGCTTGGGTGAGCCCCAGAAACCTAAAGAAGAACTAGCTCTCAGATTCTGATACTAGAAGATGGGTCACCCTCCCGGCACAGTGGCTCAGAGCCTCAGCAGCTGGCCAAAGCCAAAACTGAAGCACTCAAGGAAGGATGGGCCCCACCCACGCCTACCAGGCCTAGTCTCAGGCAGGGGTGGGACCAGTCACTACTTATTTTAACAAGCTCCCAGGGGATTCTGATGCCATTGACAGTGAACAGATCGGGGCCCCACCTTACAAATCTTGATCTCTGTCTGAGCAGAGGGCACACCCATTTTCATTTCCTCAAATCCTTAGACTGTGGGAGGCATGTATATTTTGGCAAGATATTTGTATTGAGTTTCTTATGATCAAAATACTTTTGTACACCCTCTGGATTTTTTTTTAAAAAGCAAAATAATACTTGTATATTCTGGTGGAAGGAGTCGCCACGGGAGTCTTTCTGTATTTTTCTAGTAATATTACTAATGCTAAAACCAATTTTGCAACAATTCCTTTAGAATTGCCTCAGAGCTGCTTTATGAACCTCGTGAGGAAACTGGCCCCATTTTACATGTAAATTGTGTAATCTTGTGAATTTATGCTTATAAAAATGCTCATCTGTAGTTTGAGGAGCTCCTAGCAAGATCTTAAATGGGAAAAATGTATTTGACTTAGGCAGGTGCGGCCTTCCTTCCTAGAGCCCAGGATGGCTCCGCCACATGGGTCGGCCCATCTCTTCTCCTTGGAAAGCCATCCTCTTATCCTATGTAGCTCTGAAGGCAAGGTTAATCA